TGGATAGAAACCAAAAGTGCAAAAACTGGACAGTTAAAAAAAATTGTAGCAGAAGCAGAAAGGCTAGTGAAATACAAGCAGAGAATGAAGGGTGGGGTGGTGAGAAATGAGGCCGGAGAGACCATTTGGGCGAGGCCCCGTGGCCGCTCCTCCCCCTCACAGGCACAGCCTGGGGGGGCGGGGGAGGGGTGGGGCAGGAGGCCCGGCCCGGCCCGGCCCTGCCTGCCACTGTCCATGGGATGTGTGGCCCTGGGAAGATTCCTCTCCTCTCTGGCCTCAGTCTCCCCATCTGGAGATGGGGCACCAGCCAGCCTGGGCAGTCGATGGCCTTGTAGTCTCTGCCTGGTGGCCACAGAGCTGATGGGCTCTTCCTGAGCTCTCTGGACATGGACTGCCTCGCTCTCTCCTGAGAAAGATCCTCCTGGAAATGGGTGCTCCTCCCTTCCGATTCTGTGTCCACGACAGCCAGACTGTTGCCTCCACCCCTCCCCTGCTGCTGTTCTCACCAATGCCACCAGAGACTTCCACGTTGCCAGATCCAGTCAGCACTCTCAGGCCTTTTCTTGCTTGCCCTCTCGGCTGCCTTGGGCTTGGCTAACCACTTCCCCAAACACCCTTTGGCCTTAGCCTCTGACACCCCACACTCACACTCTGCCAGTAGTTCTCCTGCTCCTCTGACTGCCCTGCCCTGTCTCTCTCTCCTGTCCCTTCACCATGCTTCTCCCACCACCAGCGCCAAGACCTGCAACCCACTGCCCCTGGTGTCCCCATCCCATGACTGAGTTTCACCATCTCTCTGCCCAGGGACCTCCTTGCTCTGGGCAGGCGAGAGGCACGCTTGGCGTCTTTCAAAAGCCGAGGAGCTTCCCTACAGGCCAGAGCAGTATCCCCATGCCCTGTTGTGCCTTTGCCCTCCTAGCAACGGTTGGAAGCACCCCCGGAACAGGGGCGGCCAAGATCAGAGCCTGGCAGGATGAGCAAGGTTCACCCCAAAAGAGCCAAAGTTATCTGTGGGCCCCTTGAGCTCCCCCCTTGGCACATCTTCTTCCCTTAATACTAACCACCTTCTAACCTACTATACAATCAACATATTCATATGGCTGTGTGTGTCTGTGGGTTACCGTCTCCCTCCTAGAATTTAAGCGACACAAAAACAGGGATCTTGGTTTTCTTCACTGCTAGATCCTAGTACCCAGAACGATACCTGGCCCAATAGGGGCCAAATAAATATTTGCTAAATGAACAAAAGAAAGAAGGATTGGTACTTCATTGGAAGTGCCTACCTGACCTACTGAGGTTCCCGAAGATCCAACAGTCTGCATGCAGAGGCCTCACCGGCATCCAGAGTCCCTGCCTCTGAACAGCGGCTCTCTGTCTGAGCCTCCACTGACTGCTCCCAAAGCCTCAGCCTCTGTCGCTGAGCCCCACGTAAGACCCGCACCCCCAATCCTCAAGAGCAGCCTCCATTGAGTCACTGGGGAGCCTGGGACCATCCTCTGGTGAGAACTTAATCTGTCCTGAACCTATGATAAAAGCCACTGCCCCAGCCACGGAGCTGAACCCGACACGCAGAGAAGACTCTCCAGCCGGAGGCCCCGTGCCCGAAGTGTGCGTGCTCAGCACTGAGAAGAGGCCCCCCTCCGTGAGGCCTGGCAGAGGGAAAAGAATGGAAACCCTAAGGGGGGAGCCTCAGGGTAGAAGGTGGGAGCCCACCCTGGGAGAACCCATTTCAGGGGAGACAGGTTCGTGCCACGCCTTTCATTTAATGTCCCAACTCTCAGTCCTAGGGGTGCAACACGCAAGCAGAGTCTAGGCCCCTTTGTAAAACTTTTATTTAGAAATCTTCCCAATATATCCTTATATATATACACACATCATCACCACATGGGTTTTGTCGCTAAGGAGTCACACGCCCACAGTGTTGGCCTCTGGGCTGTACAAAGGTCAAGGTACCTGGAGCGGTTACTCCTCTTCTGCAGAAAAATGCAGAGACCAACGCAATGCATCACGTACAGTACAACATTGACGGAAAGTGCTGGGCCCGCCCGCAGGAACGATGCACTATGTACATGGGCTGGGGGGCAAGCCTTCGGCGGGGGCCACGTACCATTGACATCACAAGTACGACACGACCACCCCCAAAGGCCGAGACAGTTGTCGGCTGACTACCGATGCTGTGCCCTTTGTTTTGCTTTCGGAAAAGGATAAAGGTTGTACCATCTTGTCGTTTGCCACTACAAATAAAATACGAATTTGTCTTAAAAGATGCGATTCCCTCCAGTCATTAACAATCATCTTTGTCCTCCTCGTGTTTTTTTACATTTTTTCCTTTTTGTACAGATATTATTCTTGGATGGAGAATGTTCATGGGTGAAGAGGAGGCAGAGGAAGAAGAGTATGGTGGGGGGAGGTGCTGGAAATGAAAGTGAAAACTATGGATCTTTTCTAGCTCTTAACAAAGACACGAAGCTTTGCCCACCCCTACCCAGGCCTGTCTCAGGTGGCTGTAGTACTTTTTACATATTCTGCCTCTGTTCCCATCTCTCTTTTCTAGTCTCCCTCCTGTGCCTTGCTTTGGAATGAGACTGAAATGAGGTCCATCTGGAGAGATAAGGATAACCTAGATAACTCAGGATAAAGTGGTTTAGAACCTAAATTACCCAAATGCTATGCAGACAGGCAGACTGGCCCACTGCCTAGGTCCCGGACTCAGGGTGGGAAACCCCACTGCAGGAATGATAGTGAGGGGGACAGAGTTCCGTACGGTCTCAAAATGCTTCTACTTTCATGATTCTATTCAGCCCACACCACAGCCCTAGGAGACAGGCCAAGCCAGGGTATTTACGAGAAATTGACCTTCAGAGAGAGAACTTTTCCAGGTCACACTGCAGGTCTGAGAGAAGAGGAAGCCAGAAGCTGGAGTTCCTCATAGAATGTGTGATCCATCTCCTAAAACCCATCCACCTATGCTCACCGTGGCCACTTTTCACTCCCAGGTCAAGTTAACCCACCAGAAGCAAACACAGCCTTAGGACCGAGAACAGGTGCTCCATCTTTAGACAGATGGGATTTTTCACAGGAGCTTCCAAGTATCAGAAAGGAACGAATCCTAATGTTCATCAAAATATGACGGGGGGGGCGCTGAAATGGGGCAGAGAGGGTGCTACAAGGGTTAACCATGTTGCTCCCACCCCCACAAACTGGACCTGTCCTCTCACAACCTAAAGGGAAGGGGAGGAGAGCAGAGATCATCCCCACGGGCATGTGGCTGTCCCCAGGGTCCCGCCATGGTGAGGGCGAGCCACCAGGCTGGAGCCCATAAGGTGTGAGGGCCTTTCCCGACAGCCGCAGCGATGGTTCTTCCACATTGCTATGGACAGGGCAAAGTCAGAGCATTGTTTTCCCTCTGACCTCAAAGGCAGAGCCTGGTCAGAGCCGGCTGGGGTGACTTGAGGGCACAATGACAGGTATGTAGGACTTGTGTGCAGTTTGTTCCAGGGGCTTGGGGTGTGGGTCACAGGCAGGCGTCACCTTAAGAAAACCATGTCCCACCATCTGGATTGACACGGGAGATCAATGAGGGGGCAGCAGTCCACTCTACAAAAGGATTCTCCACTTTAACAAGGGACTTGTGGCAGTATTTCTTTAAAAGGTGAAGATAAGGATTTGATTTACAAAAATGTCATGTACAGCTTTTGGCGGGGAGCACTCCTACTGCGTCATGCCAGCCTCCCATACACACCCTTGATGACCAAAATTTGTGCACTCAGGGATGCCGAAGGTTCTGCTAAGTGAATGTCAATGTGTTTGGGTCTCCGCCAGGGCCTGGTCTCTCACTGGGCTCCCCAGGCCCTAGAAGTGGGGCTAGATCCTGGGTCATATCAAGACCTAGAGATCCCACAAATACCTGAAGTCAAGCAAAATCCCAAATGCCAGGAATTCAAAGGACAGAGTTTGTTGTCGATTCAGTTTCAGGACACAGACCAGACCATCAGCAAACAGACATCCTGCAGCAGGGAGGCCCCTCTGAGGAGCTAGGAGAACGTGAGATGGGGCCGCACGTCTACTCTCAGCACCAACACACACCGATCAGCACACTGGCATCTGCTCCTTGCATGAACAGCGACGTGTCGCTGAGGACGCAGGCAGGTAGCTCTGAGGCACCACCACGATTTGAAGCCCACGTGCCCCAAATAGCTCTTGCTCAATTTCACTCTCATCATTTCTCCTTTGTCTGCCTTCGAACAAAGCTCACAGGGCACGCTCACAGCCGCAGACTCAGTCCCCACAGCCACAAGGATGAGGAAGGCAAGTCTCAGTGGGGAGAAAGCAGAGCTTCGATCCCCAGGGCAAGAAGTAAGGGCTTCTGGGTTTCGGACCCTCTGGCCCAGCTATTCGAGAGCAGGCTGTCCACTGGCTGTCTTCTTCAGCCAGGCCCTGAAGAAGGCACCTCGAGGCTTGTGACTCTCTGCAGCACTGGCAAGCTGGATGGACCAACAGGGGCCTGGGTGAAGATGGGGCTCAAGAAATGGGCAGCTATTGGGTACCTGTATATTCGGACAGTGTGGCCACAAAAGCCACCCCAGCGAGCTTGGGAGGGGCCAAAGGCAAGGCAGAGGCTGCCGGACGCCTCAGGAGGGAGCTGAGAACCCCAGGTCTCAGCCAAGACAGGGCTCCCATGCACCAGGCCAAAAGCAATGCCACTCCAGCCTCTTACTTGAGAAGTCTTAGGGATATGGAAAAGAGGGAAGACCGTGCCATCTTCATAAAAAGTACCTACCACTTTGCTCCATTTTTCTGTTCTCCTACTGAGGCAGGAAACAGGAAAGTCAGCCCCAGAGGCAGCTGGGACCTCCCACAGTTCAGACATCAAGGAAAGCTCATCAAAAGTCCATGCCCTGCTTCAGAGCTGCCCAATCCTCACCCCACCTGCCCTAAAGCCCATGGTGCCCGTGGCCTGAGGGCACCCTCCTGGCTGGTCCTGGGTGGCCCCAGACCCATCACCGAGGGCCAGCTCCATCCGCGGCGGGCAGCATGGCAGGATGGAGGCTGCGGGCCGTGTGCTTGGGTGCCGGCTCTTCCGTGTAGCTGTCCGGGCTGGCTGCCCCGTCCAGGGAGCTGCCACAGCTGGAGTTCGGGGACAGCACATCCTGCAGGAGGTCATCTGGAGGTGCAGCGCCCCCTCCGCCACCACCCCCTCCGCCAGCCCCCACCGCAGGGTCCTTGCCAGGTCTGGCCCGCTGGCTGCCCTCCTCCTCCTGGTCATTGAGCAGCTTGGCCAGGAAGTTGATGTACTTCATGGCCAGGCGGAGGATCTCATTCTTGCTGAGCTTCTTGTCTGGGGGATGCGTGGGGATCAGCTTGCGGAGCTCAGCGAAGGCCCCGTTCACATTCTGCTGCCGCCATCGCTCCCGGCTGTTGGTGAAGATGCGCCGCACGACTTTGGTGTGGGGGCCTGGAGGTAGGAGGACAAGGGTTAGGACAGTGGGTCGGGGATCCCCCAGGGCGTCTTCTCCTGTGGGGAAGCGGAGAAGCCATCCACCTGGAAACTTGGGAAGCCTAGAATGCCCTCTTTCCTTTTACTCAGAAAACTCTACTTGTCCTTCAAAACCCTGTTTATCTGTTTCCTCCTCTCTGAGAACTTCCCTCAACCCCTCCAGACAGATCTAACCAACCACCATGGCCCTATAATCCTGTAATCTCCATCACTCTCGATCATCACTGTATGTTTCCATGTTTGTCCCCCTCTCTGAGCTGTGAGACATTTGAGGACAGGAACCATATATTATTCATTCATTCATTCATTCACTTGTGCTAAGAGGCCATATGGCACTAGTTAGAAAGATTAAACTCTGGAGCCAGACTTTCCGGGTTCAATTCCTGACTATTACTCCCTAGATAGTAACTCTGGGCAAATTACCTGAACTCTCTGTGCCTTAGCATCATCACCTGTACAATGGAGATAATACTAGTAACTCAAGTCATAAGATTGTCTTGTGAATCTAACAACTAATACAGTTAAAGTACTTAAGATAATACCTGGCTCTGATGAAACATTCAATAAATGTTAGCTATTATTATCCATTCATCGGTTATTTACTGACAACTGGCACTGTGCTAGGTATTAAGGAATAAAGGTGCACAGAGTCCCTGCCCTCGTGGAGCTTACATGTTAATGGGGATGACAGATGATGAACAATCAGCAAACAAATAAACAAACAGGAAGCTGAATGTAAACGAAAGCTGGAAAGGAGCTGCCACGTTTACCTGAGGTGGCTGGGGACAGCCTTTCAGAGGAGGTGACATCTATAAGGGAAGAACTAAAGGCCGAAGAAGAGCCAGCCAGACACAGGAAGGGAAGTTGGAAGGGCACGTGCACATGCCCTGAGCTGGAAAATGGCTGAAGCCAGCCCGGAGAGATTAGTGTGGGTAAGATCAGGGTAGGCTGAGTCCAGATCCCATAAGATGGGTAAGATGTAGGGATTTTATTCTAAGGCTGATGGAAGCACAGAGTAGGTAGGAGCTCAATGAATATTTGCTGACCAACTGATCATGCTGGCAGGTACAGAATGGAGGAGAGAGCAGAGAGTGGTGGGGAAATGACCTACACTGCGGGCTCTCTCCCCCAGGAGAGGAGTGGAGAGACAGCCATGCACAGGCATGGCCTGAGGCTCTAGACAGGCGTCTGAGGGGTGCCTCCGTCTCCCTATGTCTACAGTGCACTGATCACAGACTAGAACAGTATTCACTAGCACTCATGTACTAAGACTTGCAGAGCAGAGGCAGACACCAGTGTGCATGTATCGAGCATCTACGGTATACAAAGCACTGCACTAAATGTCCAAGCGTGACCTGGGATTCCCAAAGCCAGGAAAGGCAGAGGAGCGCCCCGTTAGTGCTCCCAGGCTCCTGGGCTGAGGCGGCCGCTTCCTTCTGCAACCCTGAGGCACAGAGCCAGCTCCTGGCAGTCCTCAGGAAGCTCTGAGCACTGAAGCAACTGCCAGTACTGGGATGGTTGCTTGCCCTCTTCTGATGACCCTGGAACCAGATCTCAGAACGTGGAAAGCTGAGTAGGAGAGAAGACATCACCTAAGACCCATTGCTCATTTCACAGCTAGGGAGACGGCGGCCAGGACGGAGGCAGACCTTGCCTCTGCAACCCAGCTCATCCGCGCCGACGCTTCCCGCTTAATCATCTCTGTCTTACACATACACACACCAGTCTTACACACACACAGACACACACACACACACACACACACACACACACACACACCATGTTTCCCCCAGGGAGAATCACTCATCCTCTGCCCACAGTGCCTCAGAAGCTATCTTTCCAAACCCCAGCAGGCCCCAGCCCAGCTGACTCTTTGCCAAAGGCCAGACCCAGGCTGGGAAAAACACAGCACACCTGCTGGGCAGTCCTACCCTGCGCGCCTCAGAGGAAATAACTTGCTGTTCTCTGGCCTCCAGGACAGACAGAGGGGTGTCCCTCAGCTGTGCCATCAGGAGGACCACTGCTCTGTGGCTGAAGCTGGCTGATCCTGAGGGAGCTCCTAGGTGGGGAGAGAGGCATTATGGCCGCTGTCACAACTAGAGCTACACAGACCCCAGAAGCCGTGCCTACCCCAAGCCAGGCCCTAAAAGCACTTTATCCCACTGTGCTCTTTCAACAACCTGTGAGGAAGCTATTATTCTCCCTACGTTACAAATGAGAAAACGGAGGCCCAGAAAAGTTCAGCAACAGGAATGCACATCGAGTCCTGGCTTTAGACCTTGTGTTAGCTCCACTTTTATGGACTCTTTTCGGTTAAATCTCTGATTTCAAAATCCTGTGGGCATATCCTGCACCCCTCCACCCTTCCCTTCACCTCCATTTCTGTCTATTCCTCTCTGGTCCTTTCCAGAGAACCACCCACCTCTCCACACCTTCCTCTTTCCTGAGTCTGTACCGCCCTCCATGTCCTCTGTCTCATGCTGGCAGGGCACAGAGTAGGTGCTTGGTAAATACTGGCATCATTTATGGGTAATCGCCTCTCTACACTCCTGCACTCCCCCCAAACCCTCACCCCTTGCCCCTTCCTCTGTGCCTGATTTCTGTCGTCTCTGACCTTTGTAGAAAATGCCTCTTCCCTGGGGAACTTCAGGGCTGGTCTTGCCTACTTCCTATTTGGTACACCCATCTCCTGTCTCTAACCTAGCAGCACTGACACTCCAACACCCTTCCCTCCCGGCCCTACACCCCTGTGCCCCAGGCTGGCTGGGTCTTTTGAGATCTGTTCCTTGTCCAGATGCTAGCTTGCCTCCTCTCCAGAACACCACAGAGGGATCCCCTCCAGAAGCCCCAGCTCAATATACATCCCTCCCACCAGCAACTTGCAGAAATCCCAGTCTGGCTCCAAGGCCTCCGGTGTGCACCAGGAGCTCCAGGAAGTCCCTCGGCTCTGAAGAGCCTGCTCTCCTGCCCCCTAGTGCTGGGCCCCATCTACTACATCTAGCCAACCTTGGGAAGAGGGAGGGGGTCCTCCAAATTTCCCACTCATCCAACTCCTTCCCCCAAGTTCGGGGCCAAAGACTACTCAGGTAGTTCACATTAAAAATGCTGAGGCCTTTGGGGTGGGGGGGGAGGGAGGGAGCAGGGGAGAATCTATGATGTCAGGAAGGGAACTCCGAGCCTCAGCTCAGAGTGTGGAAAAGGGGACAAGAGGGCCCCACTCTGCAGAGACCTGGGACAAGACCCTTAAAGGTGCAATTCCAGGCAGGGAGAAGACTTCAGATTCCAAAGAGGACTTGGGAGGAGATACAGAGAATCCCTGGAGGTTGGTGCTTAGAAACACTGCGTGTTTCTGCCCTACCGGGGGATCCTTACCAACTATAGGAATGGAGCTAGAGTGGGGACTACAATTGACCATGGAGGTTTGGGCTAAGCGCCACAGTGTGTCCTCACTCCCATGCACTCTCTTCCCAGGACTGTGGTAAACCCCCAGCCCCACCCATGACCTCCCCTAGTCCCAGGTCAATAGGGCGAGGACTTCAACAGCTTCTCTTGGCTCCAAGAGAGCTGCCCATCTATGTGAGACACCTAGGGAGTAGTCCCCGATGATCCCTCCTTCAGGGTTCTAACACCTTGAGGGAGTGAGTACACAAGTGGGGTGGGGGTTGACTCACCATCAGTAATCTCCATCTCATAAGGGGAGGGTCTCCTCTTCACTCGGTTGTTGGTGGCAAACATAGGGAAGGCATCTGGCTCCCCAAAGAACCCACTGTGGGAGGGAGCAGGCAGATCACAAGATCACATGTGGGTGGAGGGGAGAGAGGGGCTCCATACAGATCCTCCCCACATGTTCTTGAGCCCCCGCCCCAAAAAACAAGGGCAACCCTGGTCCCTTCACATCGGAACTGGGGATAGAAGGAGCATGAAACACACACACACACACACACAACACCCCCAGCCTCTCTCTGTGGTGAGACAAACAAGGGGAGGGTGGCCACACACCCCTACACACACACACTCAGACACACACAAACACACATACACAGAACTAATGGTGAACACAGGGAGCAAACACAAAAATGAACATACACCCCCCACATACAAGCGCACAATCCATAGACACCTCCGCTCCCAAACAGGTGATCACACAGGCAGACACAGCCTTCACACCTGGCAGTGTGCAATTCCTGCACCACATAAGGGCACCCTGTCCCTTACCCCCAACTTCACCCCACCTTCACTCCAGCCCCATGGGGCCCAAGGACAGACAACAGACAGGAAACCCTGACTCAGCCCCACTGACATGCCCCCCCCATTACCCACTCGACTCTCCGTAGCTTCTTCCTCCAGTGTCCCCCAGACTCACCGACTGCCCCCCACTGTCTCTCCCTGCCTCATCTTCCTGTCCCCACCCCAACCGTGTCTCCTGCTCTCCACCACGTCAGTGGTCCCAGCAGGGAAATGGATACCCTCACACCAAAGGGAGCACGGGTCCTGGCCAGAAATCGAAGCTAGGGGCAGAGGAGCTCAGGAGAGGAGGGAGGGATCTATTCCCCAGGCGGGCCCTGGCGGGGAGTTTCAGAGGAGGGAGCCCTTTTGCAAGCACCCTCAGATGCACATCTCTTACCTGTCCACCGAGGGCTGCAGCTTCCAGAAGAATTTCACAGTGGAGCGCATTCAGACACACTCCTTCCTGTTACTCACACTCAGACTCCTCCTGTCCACCCCACCACCACCACCACCAGCAGGCAGCGCCCCGCGCTTCTGCTCACAGCCAGCCGCATGCCGGTACTCCCCCTCTTCGGCTTCCAAGCTCCCAGCACGCCGCGTTAACAAGGCACCTGCACACCGCCCCCCGCGTGCGCACACATACACACACACACTAGCAGAGGGCTCGTTCCTCACTTGCACGGGGGCTCCAGCCAAGACTTTTCCAACCCCGGGTGCAAAACGTCCCCCTCTCCCCCTCTCTTCGCGCGCTCAGCCGCACTGCCCCGCCGGGAGGAGGGCAGCCGGCTCCCGACGTGCGGAAGGGGAGCCCCGGCGCCCATGCCTCCTGCCCGCCCGCCCCTCCCGCCGGCCCTGACCTGCCGAGAGAAGCCAGCGGCTGGCTGAGGCTGTAGAGCAGCGCGCGGCCGGGGGCGGCGGGGGCCGCCAGCGCGGGCGGACTCAACTGCACCATGCGGCCGTCGCCGGGCAGCTCTGCGGGGGCCGAGGCGGGTGCGGGCCCAGGAGGTCTGCACAGCTCGGTGGTGGGTACCCGATGGCGCGCTTCGGCAGCCGCTGCGTCGCGGCCCTTTAAGTCTCGCGCAGCGCCGCCCCCACCGGCGGGGCCGCCCCCTGGGCCGCCGCCGCGCGCGCCCAGCTCGATGACCGGGGGCTCCGCCGGGGCCGCGCGGCTCGTCTCCCTTGCG